TCAAATTCCCAAATTCCCACCATTTTTTAAATTAAAGTTGAAATTTTTAATCAGCAAATACACTGCAAAAATATTATCTTTTAACACCAATTATAAAGATTGAACAAAGGAAACACTATTTTCAATTGATAATAAAAATGTAATATCTGATTTGGCACTATATAATGTTTTAGCATATGGAAAATGTTTTGCAACCTAAGTTATCTCATCGTTACATCACTGATGCCTTGGTCACATTTGCTCCGATTTCCACTGCGCCTCCCGGCCGATTGAGTATTTTGTTCAAAATTAAATACAATATTGAACAAAGCACTCAATCGGCCGGACGCCGGTCGATGGATCGGAGCAAATGTGACCCAGGCATTATGTGGCAACATTTTTCAATGTCAATCTTTTCTAAATATGTGAGCCTAAAATGTAAACCAATGTTTATTGTCTAACCAGGTTAAAGGATGAATATATCATGTTTTAAATATTATTGTACTATCGGTTTTTATGAGAACTAAAATCTTGAAATGCATTTTCCCTGAACCACTTTCATGCATGGGTGGGTTCATTGCTCGCTAGATTATCAACCAATTTAAATAAATTCACGATATCTTGAACAAAATTTTTTTCAAAAATTAATCAAAAGTTTCACATTTCACACTTTGATAACATTTGGTAAGACAACAATGTTGGCCAAAGTGGTTTTAAACTTTATTTGAGGCTTTTAACTGATTAATACAATTTTACACCCATTGGACCATTGGAGAGACTGTACGGTGACTGGTTGAACAGAGTTGTATCAATCATACATGTAACTTCATGTCCCGTGAAAAATAATCAATTCTGATTGTACCAAAAGTTGGAATTTGAGTATTATGCAAATGATAGTGATGTCACAGTGGTCTAAAATGCATAGCCAAAATGGGTAAAAATGTTCATATTGTTTACTAAAGGATTTAAGCCCTGAACTCAGTGCATTGTTTGCCGAATCATACCATGGAGGTTTTTGTTTCAAAACCTTTGCATGACCGCGCAGCGGGATTGCAAAGTTTAGGAAACAACGCCTGAGTGGTATGAAGCAGTTACAATGAATTGAGTCTCGGGCTTAAATTATTTTCACACATTGCAATTTTTCTTTAAAATCTCACTAAAAGGAACGAAATCACTAAAAAAACACATTTTCAATAAAATTCTTTGCAAGGGTCAAGTTGGCAAGTCATCAAATCCAATCACCATCACCATGAAAACTGTTTAACGAGTGACCTTGTATGTGTTATTTAAGGAATAAAGAATCTTTTATCATTCTATAAACAGGGTGGTCAAAAAATGAAAACCCTGCATTTTCCTAATTTCTTTGTAATTTTAAGGATTTATCCCTGATATTTTACACATTTGTACATCATTTAATTTCTCACCACCCTACCAAATTTCATGACCATCAGATTGATAGTCATAATTTTACAGCAGTTTGACCATCATCGCGCTGTAGGCAAACCTGCACAGTTGTCAATGGGCCGAATGCATTTCTCGGCAAGTATAGCCTGAATGATACGGATGATCTCACTTTTGAGGTTTGTGATCGTCCTGAGGTCATTCTCATACACTTTTTCCTTGCCATATCCCTACAGGTAGGGACATTTTGGACGGCGAGTGCAGGTAGCCCGACAGTGCAATAGTGGCCACTAGGGCATGTTCTGTAAAGTGCTGTAACATTTTGACTATCAATCTGATGGTCATGCAATAAATTAAGCTGGTAGAAAATTGAATGATATACAAATGTGCAAAATATCAGGGAGTTATTTCTTAAAATGACAAATATATGAGGAAAATGGTGTAAGGGTTTCCATTTTTTGACCACCCATGACCCATGACCCACCAAACATGACTCTGGTCAATGATGAAGTAGATCAGTTCGTCATTCACATCTACACGATTGTTGTCCTTAAAGAAATGAAATTCTATATGTTTTTGGACAAGTTTATTAAAATTAATTTGATGCAAAAATATGATGAAAACTTAGTTGGAAAATCATTGCATTTACTAAAATGAACACACGGATGATATGCTGTCGCCCATTTTTAAAGAATAGTACTGCTCAATCTGTGCATTTATCAAAAATTGAATCCACAGCAAAATCATTTTCATGCATATATCAATAAATTAACACACTGAAATGCTTTAAGCTGATTGGCTGAGGCATGTTTGAATGAAATTTCACACACTGTTCATTATGTGAATACTCTGTTCGGATTGGCTGGAATCGGACACACCTTGCCTAGCTATGTGTGAATACAGCTTCATTCATATACTTGTATCAGGTAATGTTTACTGCTATAATGAGATCACGTGATATTTACGATTATAATGAGTTCAATTGCAGTTCGAAATGGAGGTACAAATCATAATCAAGGAAGTGCAAAATAAGATCGCTAGATAAAATAAAGGATAGTCTTTATTGAAGACTTTAAATCTCCCCCCAAAACTTAAATGGCAGTATCTGGCTTCTGACAAACGGCGAATTATTGAAAACAAACGGCGATTTTGGACACTCGCCCCCTGCTATTGAAAGCCCAGAAAGGTCAAGTCGAGGTCAACGTGACCTCAGGGGTGTACATTTTTGACATTTTGTGAGAAATTGTCAATTTTCATTCACAAAAAATGTTGATGCTAAAAATGCTTCGTTGCCTTAAAGGATATTATATTATCTTTCAAATAAATTTAAAATCATGGTAAAAGCAATTCTAGAACTGAAGTTATACACTTTCAAAGATAGCAGGTATCGTGAAATCCCATTGAGATCAATGTAATGTGAAATTGAATAGTCAGTAATTCAAGTTCAACTTGTTTTTGTCTTCAGCAATCATATATCAAGATATACAACACATGCCAATCAATGATTTAGTATATGGCGATTAACTGTTTTTTACCTTCATAAATTCACAACAATAGTGGCTCAATTTTTAGAAGCATATTGGAAAAATAATTCAATATGCCAAATTATTATCCATCAAACAGAGTAATAATCATATTTTTGAATTTTCTAAAGTATTAGAAACAAGGTAACAATCACTTTTTTTAATTTCAATTATATTGACATCAAGTTCAAACTATCATAACTTTACACCCCCCCCCCCAATCACCTTGGTTATTTCGCCGAAAAGTGTCTTATTTCTGTTGCTCCAGCTAAAAAAAATTAAGAGAGATTATTTGCAAAAAGTTGTTTTTCGAGAGGGGGGCGAATCTTTTGTCAAAGGTACACTGGCCTTCATCTTCGTTCACTCGGCTCCCGTCGATTCGATCACTGCAGACCGAGCGTGCGAAGATGCTGGCCTTGGAAGCCAGGCATTTAAAATTAAAATGAAAAAAGTGGAATGTATGTAAAATGGGAATTGTGAGGGAAGGCATAAGCAAATTTTGGGTAAAAAATAAAAAAGCGTTAGCTCCTTTCACGTCCAAAAATGTAAAAATTCTTGATTTGACCTTGGCTAATTAAGGAGGGGCTAATTGATAAAAAATAAAGGCATTTCCCCGTCGCCCATGTCCATTTCAAGGTTGATGGTATATGCTAATTAGCACACATTGCTGTGTGCGGGGTGCGGAGAAATCAGGTTAGGAACTAGATTGCCGAAATTGAACAAGTTTCAGACTCCAGATTAAGACGTTTTATCATATATAATCCCAGGCTTTGTTGAAAGGACCGAAAAGATCCTCGACATGATATATATATATATATCAGAACATGTGGAAATAACTAAAAAGAGATAACTCTAAAAATACCGAAATTGACCTAGTTTTTTACCTTGATCTTTGACACTCAAATTTTGATTAAACTGACTTTCTTACGTCCTCTTATATTGATTAAACTTATTTTTAGTCAAAATAATTATTTAAAAAAAATTAAAAGGTCATAGAAGGTCAGCCAGAAGTCGGATCAAAATTCTGACTTCATATTCGGAATCCTTGGCAATTTTTGGCAAATTAAAAACATTTAATAGATTTGGAGAACTTTTTTCGGTGACCTACTTTCGAGACACCATACCTCAAAATTCTTAAGAGTCAAAAAAACTGATGGCACACACTTAAAAACATTTTGAATCAATAATTAAAGCATGTTTCTGTTTGGCGATCGCAATCATTTCATCCAAGTCAAACATTTCCGAACTACTGAACTTAAAGTGTGCGCCAAAGTTTAAAACTGCGCAGGCGCACCGCTCTCGCTAACCTATATAAAGAGATTACCGAGTACAGGCTTCAGAGGTAAGCCAGGAAGGTGAACAATCTTCGTTCCGTGTTGATTCCCCGTATAATCGTAACCAAGTAAGTTTCACCATTGAAATTAAAAATTACTATTAGATATACTTTGTAGATGTTATTTATGAAGCTATTGAGTGTATGCATCAATCAAATGGCTCATTTTGAACATATCAAAAGTATTTGTGTTTTGTTTCCCAGGGAATTGTATTCCCATATAGTACACACATAAATAGTGTACATTATGTAGTAGTACTTGAATAGCCTGGTTTACATAAATTGAAGGGCATGCTGATTACATGCACACGAGTACATGAATGAAGGCCTGATATTGATATAGCTTGCATACCTAAATAAAAAATAAACTCTTCTAATCCCCTAATGTAAACACGGCGGTATACGTAGCCCGATTTATCGGGGACTTTAAGTAAAAACATTCAATTAAGATCCAAACATTAACAGGCTTAGTGTAACGACCCTTGATAGCCAGTTGCTACTACAGTGCAGCAAGGGTTCTAAAACGTTTTAGCTCAGTCGGTAGAGCATCAGACTTCTGAGGGTCAAAGGGTTCTAGGTTCGATTCCCACACAGGGCATTGAATTTAGCATACTTTCTTTCAATTTCTTTATCTGGCTTGTTACACTATGCTTGTTTGTTAGTTATTACCCGGGGGCGCCCTCGGGTCATTACATTAGTATGCTATCAAACAAATATTTCCAGTTGCCAAACCAATAGAGTGGCCTCGGGTTTACGTTAAGGTTAATCAAACTAAAACTAAAACGCTTAAAAACTAAACCTAAAGGCCCGGTCACACCGCCTAAACGTTGCTGGAGCGTTCCTTGAACGTTGAAAAAAATCATCAACGCCCGTAAACGTTCACCACCGTTTAACAAAAGTTGGCATCCGTTAAAGCAACGCTGTAAACGCTCGGCCAACGCGGATGTTTCTCGAGTGGCCATCCTAACGCTCCAAAAGTTTTGAGCTGCTCAAAATATTGCGAGCGTTGAAAAAGGGACAATTTTACGCCCTGGCAAAGTTTATCACCGCTCCACCAACGCCCAGTTAAGGTTTGGCACCGCTAGACGCAAGTTCGTGGACGCTTGAATCCGCTAGACCAACGCAGAAATCTTAAACGCTGGACCACCGCTGCTTCGCCAGCGTTGCCCGGGCGGCGATTAAACGTTGCACAAACGTCGGTGGAGCGGTTGTTAGCGTTTTATCAGCGTACATGGGGTTGTTGGAACGGTGTCGGACGTTGTCGCAGCGTTCCATGGTGGCGATGAACTTTTCTTTGGCGTTGGTATAGAGGTGTCGGAGCGGGACCAGAATTTGGCTATAAATACGTGGAGAAATGCACCACTGTGTAGAACACTGTGGAGACACTTGTGCATTTTACATTTGATATATATTCATGTCTTGCATTTCAATTTTTACATTGTAAATTCCTAAATTAAGCGCTCAAAGTTTGTGATTTTGGATTTTAAAAAGGTGAATTATGCGATTTTGGTTTTTCATTAAATGTTAATACAAATAGACTTTTAATAGAATTTTCTGCGCAGCTTGTAAAATTTTGCACTCGTCTTGGTATTATACAAAAAGTTGATGCGCGCACAGCAATGCAAAAATTTGTCATGCGTCATGATTATTACTTTGCTGTAAATGTTATTTGACATTGTTAAAGCAATTTGAACGTAAATCGGTTCCAACTAATCGAAATGCAACGATTAAATTGTGATATGTTTGTTTGAAATGATATGAGAGATTATTAAAGAAAATTGTAATGTTATTCATTCTTAATGTCATATTACATTAATAGAAGCACTTTAGATTTAAAACATTTCTTCTTTAATCCTTGAAGGACTTTTGTTAAAGTTACAAATTCCAATAAAGATCTTTACTCTTAAACACTTCCCACTTGAAATAATTTCCCAGTTGTCAAACGCGATATGCTGCTAAACCAACGCTGCTGCTATTTATACCCCCGCCGAGGCAACGCTCTCATGCGCAGAACGCCGCTATACCAACGCTCGCATTACCGCTAAACAAACGCTAGCTACCGCTCGCAACCGCTTAACCAACGCTAAAGCAACGCCGGCTTCAGCGGTGCACCGCTAAGCTAACGCCCGTGTTTTTGTTTTTTTCCCCATTTTGTGCGCGTTGACGAGCGTTGATGAATTTTTTCAACGTTCAAGGAACGCTCCAGCAACGTCCGGGCGGTGTGACCGGGCCTTAAGGCCCGGTCACACCGCCTAAACGTTGCTGGAGCGTTCCTTGAACGTTGAAAAAAATCATCAACGCTCGTAAACGTTCACCACCGTTTAACAAAAGTTGGCATCCGTTAAAGCAACGCTGTAAACGCTCGGCCAACGCGGATGTTTCTCGAGTGGCCATCCTAACGCTCCAAAAGTTTTGAGCTGCTCAAAATATTGCGAGCGTTGAAAAAGGGACAATTTTACGCCCTGGCAAAGTTTATCACCGCTCCACCAACGCCAAGTCAAAGTTTGGCACCGCTAGACGCAAGTTCGTGGACGCTTGAATCCGCTAGACCAACGCAGAAATCTTAAACGCTGGACCACCGCTGCTTCGCCAGCGTTGCCCGGGCGGCGATTAAACGTTGCACAAACGTCGGTGGAGCGGTTGTTAGCGTTTTATCAGCGTACATGGGATTGTTGGAACGGTGTCGGACGTTGTCGCAGCGTTCCATGGCGGCGATGAACTTTGCTTTGGCGTTGGTATAGAGGTGTCGGAGGGGGACCAGAATTTGGCTATAAATACGTGGAGAAATGCACCACTGTGTAGAACACTGTGGAGACACTTGTGCATTTCACATTTGATATATATTCATGTCTGGCATTTCAATTTTTTACATTGTAAATTCCTAAATTAAGCGCTCAAAGTTTGTGATTTTGGATTTTAAAAACTTAAGGTGAATTATGCGATTTTTGTTTTTCATTAAATGTTAATACAAATAGACTTTTACTGAGACCTTTATTCAAATATAGTATATACCTAGTGTGTTCACGTCAAGCAATTCAATAAATTATCTGTGAATTTTCTGCGCAGCTTGTAAAATGTTGCACTCGTCATGGTATTTTACAAAAAGTTGATGCGCGCACAGCAATGCAAAAATTTGTCATGCGTCATGATTATTACTTTGCTGTAAATGTTATTTGACATTGTTAAAGCAATTTGAACGTAAATCGGTTCCAAGTAATGGAAATGCAACGATTAAATTGTGATATGTTTGTTTAAAATGATATTAGAGATTATTAAAGAAAATTGTAATGTTATTCATTCTTAATGTCATATTACATTAATAGAAGCACTTTAGATTTAAAACATTTCTTCTTTAATCCTTGAAGGACTTTTGTTAAAGTTACAAATTCCAATAAAGGTCTTTACTCTTAAACACTTCCCACTTGAAATAATTTCCCAGTAGTCAAACGCGATATGCTGCTAAACCAACGCTGCTGCTATTTATACCCCCGCCGAGGCAACGCTCCCATGCGCAGAACGCCGCTATACCAACGTTCGCATTACCGCTAAACAAACGCTAGCTACCGCTCGCAACCGCTTAACCAACGCTAAAGCAACGCCGGCTTCAGCGGTGCACCGCTAAGCCAACGCCCGTGTTTTTGTTTTTTCCCCCATTTTGTGCGCGTTGACGAGCGTTGATGAATTTTTTCAACGTTCAAGGAACGCTCCAGCAACGTCCGGGCGGTGTGACCGGGCCTTTAAAGAAGGAAATTGAATGGTACTTATAACCACTTCAGGAATTGCATTCTGGTCTCTACAATGGTCCACGTTATGCAGCCGAAGCTGTTAACATGTACATTCCTAACAAAGAAGCCAGGATACTTGATGTTGCTGCTGGAACTGGAAGAGTAGCCGAAGAGGTAAATTACAAATTACTATCTCAATGACAGTACAGAAAACCTTTAAACGTACTCCAACCATAAACAATAAACTCTTAATTAAACAACATATCGATAGACCATCTACACGAGAATAATGTTATATTCACGTGCACTGACCTTTAAATTTTGTCATTTTAGCTCCAGAAATTAGGCTACAAGAACTTAGATGCCTTGGATCCATCAACTGGGATGCTAACGATAGCTAGGGAGAAGCAGCTGTATAGAAATCATATTCCCACTTTCATCTTAGAAACAGGGACCCCAATTCTTCATGGTACGTTTGCAACAATCATGACCGTCTGTAGAGGTTAGATCAGCTTACATTTCTTCGTAATTTATCGGACAAGTTTGAAAGCACCATTTCTTAAGGGCGTTTAAGGGTTGCTAGAGTGAATGAATCAACCCTCGCTAACTGTTTTGCATTGCATTACTAGTCACGTAATTTTTTCTACCGGTCATGCGTCATAACGTGATCAGTCGCCTTGAACAAGGGAGCAGTCCTTGATGATGACTTAAGCCTAAGATTCTTAAGTTTTCAAGATCAAATGACCTTCAGAAGACCCCCCTCCCCCAGGGCGAGGAGATTCCTCCAGGGTAGTGGAGAAGAGCTTCTGGAGCTAAAAGTCCCCTTAAGTAGCAGAAGAGAGTTTGTTACTATTCACTTAAACTTCTTAGAGCCTTCCAAAGCGTTGGAAGAGACGTTTTGAAGCCTCTCGAAGAAGTGGAGAAGCATCTCGTAGTATTGAAGACGTTTCCAAGAGTATTTGAGAATTCCTCCTGGAGGAGTGGAAGTCTCCCAAAGTAGTTGATAATTCCTCCCAGAGAATGGGAAGTCTCCCAGAGTATTGGATTATTCCTCCCAGAGAAGTGGAAGTCTCCCAGAGTATTCGATAATTCCTCCCAGAGAAGTGGAGAAGTCTCCCAGAGTATTGGAAAATTCCTCCCAGAGAAGTGGAAGTCTCCCAGAGTATTGGAGTATTCCTCAAAGAGAAGTGGAGAAGTCTCCCAGAGTATTTGATAATTCCTCCGAGAGAAGTGGAAGTCTCCCAGAGTATTGGATTATTCCTCCAAGAGTAGTGGAAGTCTCCCGGAGTATTGGATAATTCCTCCCAGAGAAGTGGAAGTCTCCCAGAGTATTGGATGATTCCTCCCAGAGAAGTGGAGAGGTCTCCAAGAGTATTCGATAATTCCTCCCAGAAATGTGGAGAAGTCTCCCAGAATACTGAATAATTCCTCCCAGAGAAGTGGAAGTCTCCCAGAGTATTGGATAATTCCTCCCAGAGAAGTGGAAGTGTTAATTTAACTTACTAATCCTGGGTTTCGGTACCATGTTAAAGTATGGGTGTAACCTGACATGTTAGTGTTTAAAAGTTTAAAACCGGCCTTTATTTTGGAATTTTAGATGAGTATGATGGCTTAGTGACGTCAGGAGGGATGGGAGAAGGGCATATTCCTCCGGAGGCAATGCACGAAATGGCAAGGGTGGTAAAACCAGGTAAAATAGTTCTTTGTAATATCCATGCACTCTTTTGAAATACCCTTAGTATAATGATTTTAAAAATGTCCAATGCGTTAACTACCAATGACATAATCATATAGGTCCTATATTTGGCATGTTTTAGACATAAATTGTATTGTCACGATGATCAAGACATGATATTATTTAAAGGCAATTGACATGATATGATGGTTAAAGGGACTTGATCACGGCCATAATTTGCTTATTTATCTCAACAATGAAATAGACAATAAATATAAGACCATTCCCATAATATAAATACATGCAAAGCTCTTATTTTTATTTAAGGTGGAATAATATGTATTGCCATGAGAGAAGAATTCCTCGTGAGTGTAGAGAGATATAAGAACAATGCACTGGAGCTTGAAATGCTTAACATGGCGAAGCGTAAAATATGGATTCAAATAGGAAGAAATGTGGTGCCGAAATATGTATTCGACAAAACCGGAGTCGTGTTTGCTTTCAAAGTTCTTTGAAACGATTGAATTATCATAAGAATGCTCTTTTTTCAATTAGATAAAATGTCATTATCTTCTTGCTCAATGAAAATCATATATTTCTTTGGATTGAAATAAACATGGAGGCAATAAGCTAGAATGATTCTACACATAGTTCTTTAAACATTGAATGGTTATAATACATAGGTAAAATCAAATCAAATTTCTTGTTCAGCGTCAGACAAACCTGTTTACATTTAACTAGAAAAACAGCAACTCCTTATCTGTCAAATCCCAATTTATATTGGGAGAAATCCCGATTAAAATCCCGAAATAAACAATAATACCATTTATCGTAAAATGAAGCCCTCTGATTGGTCAGTTCTTATGCTGTACCAATCTGTATTGCTATACTGAGGTTGTCCCCGTTGATCATCTCCGTCGCAATACAGAAAATATTGGTACGGAGGGGACAATCTCAGTAGCAATACAGAGGATCACACGATAAAAACGTTATTGAATGATTTGAAGTGCGATACAGATTCTGTCTCGATATTCTGTATTGGCACTCAACTTCGTCTCGTTCCAATACAAAATTTCTGGAACAGAATATATCCTGTATTGCACTTCAAACCATTCAATGACTTAAAAAGTAATTGACTAACTACCTGAAGATTATGCAATAAGTGTATCTTTATTTACGTAATTAAAAAACAACCGCGTGCGTGTTTTCGTAGGTACATCTTGAATAGGGCATATTTTACAACGAAACCCATGAACTAAAGAGGTGTGTAATAAAAGGTTTAATAAGATGGCCGAAAGAAAGATGACAACAAGGTATATTTCGAGTAAAATGTCCAAATGATAAATAGATATATGATATACTACATAAAAACATCTGATTTCACAGCGATCTTTGTGTTACACATCCACTGACGATCTCACACAAACACAGAGCGAAGTCATGTTGCGAACCATTTTAAAACAGGTATTATCAAAATAAAAAAACTATATGAACAATGTTCAACAGCAAGCAAGTCCATTAAATGCAGTTACAGTAAAATACCATTGCGGATAATGTTGTTCTAAACGGTGACAATGAACACAATCAAGAACAGAAACTCAATCGTAGAAACAAAGCATAGAAACATGCTATCCTACATGAACATTCAGCAACGTTGTTAAACAATAAAAAATGTGTACTTCAAAAGCTTGATTGATCTAATTATTAAAGAAAATATGAACATTTGCATCAAGCTATCGCAATCACTGCGACGTCGCAGACACTGCGACCACCGTGCGACGTCGCAGTGACTGCGACTGCGACCTATTCATTAACAAATCGCAGTCTACGATGTCCCTGCGACCAGTCGCAGTGATTACCACGTGCACGTGCTTGTACACGTGTTTGTTATCCTTTCGAGATCCTCTTGTATCATTTCGTAAAGGTTTATAATGGTTAACTAGGCATGCAATATCGCAAAATAAGGTCCAGAGGCCTCATTATCCGGTCAGCGCTAAATTAGCGTTGCGATTTGCGTTGCGCTTGCGAATCAACATTATTCGCAAGCGCAAATCATGGTTTGCGTCGTATTACGCGCTTCACGCAAACGCAGACGCAACGCAGACGCAACAGTATGCTAATCGCAAATAAATTGGAAACGCGGGAAATTTAAACTTAGGATTTTGCCCCATTGATGTATACTGGGCTTTAACATTGCGTGGGACCTCGTGGGACCTATTGGGATTTTGCTCCATGAGGTCCGTGGGGCTTCATTGGACTCTGATTTTGCCCCATCTTGCCTCATCGAGTCCCATGAGGTCACATGAGGTACCGCGTGGGACCAGGTGGGATTCGATGGGGCAAAATTCGACATATTCCAATGGGCCAAGGTGGGATTTGATGGGACTCCGTAGGGCTTGATTGGGCATGATGGGGACTCAATGGGGCAAAGTCATCAAGTTCCCATGGAACACCGTCGTTATTCGATGGGAAAGTTGGAACTCAATGGGGCAAGTGGGATTTTTGCCCCATTGGTGTATACTTGACTTAATATATTAGCCCGGTCAGAAACACGCTGAAACACGCCCAAGTATGGTATAATTAGTTTTATCCATTTAAATCTCAAGGATGTAAAAATATTTATCCCATACTTGGACGTGTTATAGGTACATAAAGCTGGTTTGTAAAAACTTTTATTCCATACTTAGTAGGTATATAACATGCGGGAATATAACTGATATGTGACGTGAGCGGGAGGTAAATACAATATATCAACCCTCGGTCCCTACGGTCCCTCGGGTTGATATATTGTATTTCCCTCAGATATACCCTGTATCAAAAACCTCCCATTAAATAACCTCTATATATTTTCATCAGCGGTCAGATATAGCTATGGATATAGTCCTGAGTAAGGACATAAGCGGTTACCGTTAGTGATTTGGTTTTGTGAATAAAAAGTCATGTTCTCCTTCCCTACACCTTTGGAGCGCCATCTAGCGTTTGGGAAGTGAATCGGGACTAAATATTTATAGGGTAGGTCCTAATTTATCTGAAAACATGTCAGAGTTCAGTGGGAAATCTCATTTTAAGCTGGCGGCGGAGTGATTTTGACCTTGGTGATTTTACCAGAATTCTCTGAGAAATCTGACGATAGAGGGGGTTAGTGTCTTCAAGTTTATTTATTTCAAAAAGTCGGTGGACAACCCATGGTAAGATTGTTATTGCAGGCTAGGCGAGTCTCTCCCGAACACTGTGGTATGCTGCACTAGGCTTGGATACTAATCGTTAATAAGATACAGGGTAAAATGTTATAATGGCCACCTATGGGAAACTCTACTGTGATCTTCAACCTATTAGAAGGCGCTTTTTTGGGGCATTTTGAAGGTTTTATCCCTTTTTGAGGTTTTTTGGTTCATTGAGAAGCCTAATAGCGCATATCATATTAAAGGGCTGTATCTTAGCTGAACAATGCTACCAAAATCGTGACATTTTGAAGCAATTTTTGTGTTTTGGGGGCGAGGCCACTGTGCCAAGTACCCCGAATTCCATTCTCCCGTGCCATTCAATTGTTTTCGGGGCAGTTTTGAATGAACCTTTGTTTCTTCCTACCAATATGACGTCATAAGATGCAATTGAACGCCTTGGCATGGATATCACTTGAAAGATAGTAGAAATCGCTTTCCAATGATACCCCATATGGCCATGTTCACCTCAGTTGGGTGTACTCAATCTGTGATGCATCTGTAAGGTGTACCCCTACCCCAAAGAAATTTCAAGAAATCTCAAAATCAAATTTCCTGAATTTTGCTAAAAGGACCCGTGTCTATAAGGATTGACTTTTCCTCCGTGCTTTTTCTCAAATATAGGATTGTTATATACCATTGTGATCGGGATAATGCCTACAATGCTAATATAACCATGTTGGAAGAAAACAAACTAATTCAGTTTACTATACGTCCCGCTCTGAGCGGGCAGATATAGTATATCTGCCCGCTGACGTCATAATCGCCGTTCGCATATTGGTTCATTTTTGTAACATGCGCATAATTACTGTAAACGTTAATGGAGAAAAGGCAGACAATCGCGATCTGTTTGAAGGAAGGAAATGAGCGTATCCCTGTTAAACAAGGATTTCAGAAATAAATGTGGATGAATATCTGAAAATCAGGCTATTCTAAATGAATTCTTACGGTTGGTTGGACATTTTCTGAACTCCGGCCAATTGAACAGCGTGAACAAAATGACCAAGATTGGTATGGGATAAACAGATCATCCTATAGTTCAATATCCTGAACCTCATATAGGATAATCTCTATTTATCCCATGATACTACTAATTCCCGATAAATAACCGGGAATATTTTTGATATTGAGAAAAAATCGTATTGAAAATTTTTGCCAAACAAAGCTTCCTCTTTCAATCAGTTGGGTCGATATAGCATTCTAAAATGATGTTCTTATGTGAAAAACGAATTCCAGTTTTATCATCATCGCTCTGACACAGACAAAAATGCTTACGTATTGCTGAATGTTTTGATGTTGATGTGGTTATGTTACACATGTACAATAATTTTTTTATATTTAAAAATATCATAAAGCTAAGTCATATTTTCTTGATTAAATATACCATTTTTTCATAGAAAAATCTAACTAATGATTTTATGAAGACAGTTATGAATATCATGGAATAAAAAGCTAATTTACTGGTCGGGATTAAATATGGGTTTATTCCTCATGACAATTTGATATTTCACATATTGTGAGGGACAATTTGGTATTTCCCTCTGACCCTCCGGGCTCTCGGTAAATATCATATTGTCCATCATAATAAAACCCATATTGAATCCCTCCCACTCCAGTCCATAACCTATATATATCTTGCGAAAATCTAGATCTGTCACTTGAAGGCAGCCCATCTTGAAAACAAGACACGGTGTCTTTGTAATTAGTCCGACTGATATAGCCTACCTAGAGAAAACCGCCGATACCTCAGCAACAATGTTCGAAACAGTAGGTTGGGATACCCCGAATATATCTCCATTTATCATTTGCATACAACCTGTAGCATAAAATCGTAATGAAATGAATACTTTTAGCTGACATGGAATTGCCTGAGGATTCCTTGTTCTTGACGCTAGATCCCCATCTAATATATTAATCAACTCAAGAATGAGTGGCCTCGGCATGCGATATCTGTTTAATATCTCATCGTCAGTCATCTCTAACGGCTGACTCCTGTCTCTGAATAAGCGTAAACCTCTTCTATTGTGAACACCCTGGAATAATATGCGCCACATTTTCCAGCTTGATCGAACCCTAATATTTTAATTTTAGCAGACGATATTTGCGAAATGGAATTGCGATATTTATTATAGATTTCACAAAACCAAGGTAGCATAATCGTGCACTTTCAGACTTGATTTTGATAAGTTTTGGTTATTTGTGTCTCTAATGTTTTGCAACCTATTTTTAGTTGGATGTCTCAAAGGGCACTTCCTAGATTTCTACAACGATAATGTTAATTTAAATAGGAAAACTATCAAGATTCTTGATGATATATGTTTGCGATTTATATTGCGGTAGGGTCAGGGATGCCGCAAATAAAGTGGAGTTTGCGACATAAAAATCAACTGATTTACGTGGACGCAACTGTGCGATGACTGCATAATACCAATTTGCGTGCGGTTAGCAGTGTATTTGCGATGCGAAATGAAAATAGCGATGCGTCTACCGTGTTATAAGAAAACTGCGATTTGCGCTAAAGACGCAAAACGGCAATGAATTTGCGCTAGAG